TCATTCCTTTGCAGACATACGTAATAGTTATCCTAAGAATATGTTTTTCTTTGCGGGGTGGGTGGTGCCAATAGCCGAAAATAGGCGAGGATGGTCCTAACTTTTGCACCCTAAGCCTCTTATGATTAGACCCCCAAACCGTCAGAAACCCCAAGCCCTAAACCCCTAAAGCCAAAACGATCTGAGCCCTGAGCCCCAAACCACAAAACCCTCAGCACTTGAACCGATAGATACCGCCAGGCCTAAGCCCCTAAAGCCCGAAGCCCTGTAAACCTTACATCGAGGGTCCCTATAGACTACTACTTATGATCCCAGGTCTGAAAAACCATATCAACAAGGATGGTCTTTTGGCATCTAATTCCGTATATGGCACCCGTGGGCTACACCCCAAGCCCTAAACCCTACGGCTCATCAGGACCATAAGCCGGCCTCAGCCGAGGAAAGGCAACGAATCGAGGCTGGACTCTGCAGTAGTAGCAGTTGAGTCCGAGGTTTAGGATAGGATTGTGGGGTCTAGGGTTTTGGGTTTAGGGTTTAGGAGTTTGGGGTTCGGTCGACCGTTCGTCAGTCACTGTCAGCCCGCTTCTGCATGCTCAAAGCATAAGGACTAGGTTACCATTTTGGGATGTAGGTTCTAGGGTTCAGGGGTTGGATTTTATAGTTTAGGGTTTTGGGTTTGTGGTTGTAGTGTCCAGGGCTTCGGAGGAGGAAGAGTTTAAAGTAGGAGTAGGTAGTAGTAGTAGTAGTAGTAGTAGTAGTAGTAGTAGTAGTAGTATGCATACAAAATGCTTCACACATGAGAAGAACAACCACCTTGGCGGCAGCTTCCATCAGCTACAGCTTCCAATCAGGACCCCGTAATTCAAAGGAGCACCTACAACACCTCCCTGAACACTAAACCCAAAAGGCCATGGGTGGGCAGATTGACGTTCTCTCCGCAAAGACCGGGGAGGCCAGCGCGAGCATTCAGGCCAAAGATCTAGGTTATTAGGGTTCCATTCTAGCAGGAGATCCACAATAATTTAGGGACCTTAGTAACTGGAATAGGGTTTTGGGGGTTCCTTGATATAATTATAGTACAATATACCCCAAACCTGATTCTAGTTATTAAGGCCCCTATGTCATCAGGGTGGGTTTAGGGTTTAGGGTGGGTTCCATTCTAAAAGGAGATCTATCATATAAGGGTGGGTTTAAGGTTTAGGGTGGGGTCCATTAGAAAACGAGATCTAGCAGAAAAGGGTGGGTTCAGGGTTTAGGGTTTAGGGTGGGTTCTGTAAGAAACAGGAGTTCTGAAAGAGAGCTGGGACCCTGGGAGGTCTTGGTACGGCTCAAGGTTTGTGTCGGGTTTAAGGCCCATGATTGAGAGTTTAGGCTTTAAGGTTTGCGGATTCAGCCCTGAACACATTGGGTTTAGAGCTTCAGCTTAATATAGCGGCCTTAAGTAATTAGAATAGGGTTTTGGGGCCTACTATACTATCATTATAATAAGGAGCTCCCTAGAATAGTACTGATAACTATTTGGTCACGCACGTAACAGGACCCTGGTGGCCACGTGATGTACGAATTGCAATCTTTTCTAGTGGGCAAACTAATTTCTTAGCAAAAATTGGTTTTGACAACACCTTAAAAACTATTCACGACCTGAACCGAAAATGAAGTCGAAACACTGTAAGTAGTAAACTGGCGGCCAGGGCACGAAGCTCCGGGGCTTAAGGTTCTGGGCATCGTAGATACATATGTAAAGGTTGTCGACATATGTTCATGTGTATGTAGCGTCTGAGATCTCTGTGGTATTCGATCGTTTCCTCAACGAGTCGGACCCAGCCGCCGAGGCCAATGTCAAGATCGAGTTCCCCTTGCACACGGAGTCGCAGGAAAAGGTGAGGATCCTGAAGAGTGGCAAGGGCAGGATCCAGAAGGAGCTCAACACAGGCAAGGACTTGTGCCAAGAGCTCACCAACGGGGGCAGCTACGACCCGATCCACTCTGTCAAAGCCATCGAGACTTTCGAAAAGCTACTTGGACACCCTTCTGTGGGCTTCAATCTCCTCTGTAGCTTACCCTCGCCCTCTCCATCTTACATGCGGAATGTGAGACCCTAAGCATTATACTACTAGAACAGAGTGTAGGGTGCGAACCCCTAAACCCGAATTGATCCCCAAGCCAAGACTTTAAGCCTTCAGTTCAAAGCCCCAAAGACCCAACCCCCACCCCCGAAATACCAAACCGTAAATCCTACTTCATTCTTAGGAATACATAATAAATAAATATATATATACACACACACAAGGACATCACATCGATGAACCCCCACAGTATAGGGTTTTTCGGGTTCAGGTAAGCCCAGGTTCTAAATCCTAGACCCGAAGCCATAGACCCCGAGACTCGTCATTGTGAGTCTGGGTTGGCCTAAAGCTCTAAACCCAAACCTTACGTTCCCCGACCCTAGACAGGGTTTAGGGTTTAGGGTTTCCGAAGTTTCGACATAGCCCACTTTTTTGAGGGCTTTTTCGAGGAAGCCATTTTCTGGAACCCCCAAGATTAAAAGTCTGTCCTTTAGGCTCCAAAGACACCCTACAACCCTAGAGATTTTTCAGCCTTAAGCTCTAAACTACCCGTACATCCATCCCCTAAGACTCCAAAACACTTGATTGATGTCTGTTTTGGAATTAAGCAGACGTCAGAAAGTTGGAACATGATTCTCCCCGTGACGCATGCCCTTAAGGTGAAGCATAGGGAATCCTAGCAGCATTCATCACAATCCTACGTTCCAACTTTTGGTGTGTGTGTCGTTTATTCAGTATAGTATGCAAAAGTACCATCGCTGCTATTTCATTCGGCTCCTAAACCCTAAACCCTAAACCCTAAACCCTAAACCCTAAACCCTAAACCAAGGAACATTGGAATCCCTGAGGCCCCTCCATCCCTTAGACCCCATGGCTCGCATAGGACCCTTACAGACTCCCCAAAAAGAGACTCTAGCAGTAACCCTAGGGTTTAGGGTTTAGGGTTTAGGGTTTAGGGTTTAGGGTTTAGGGTTTAGGGTTTAGGGTTTAGGGTACATCCCCAACTTAAACCGTAAAGCCCCCCGACGCCTTGTAGAACTTCTACAGAACCTTACAGGAACTCTCACTAATTTAACGGTATCCCTACACCCCTCAATGCGACCCTTAAAGGGGCCCTTACCGGCCCCACTAACGGAACCCCTGTGAACCCCTTACAGTATCAACCCAACAGATCCCTTTAAAGGAACCCGAAAAATCCCCTTTAAAGCCTTGAAGATCCCCTTAGAGGAACCCCAAACTGCCCTTTTAAAGGAGCCCCAAGGATCCCCTCAAGGGAGCCCTCAAGATCTGAAAGGAACCCTCTTCTCTCATAGATTCTTTTAAAGGCCCCTAAAGAACCCTTGCATTCCTGCAAGGCTTCCCTTAAGGCTTCCTGAAAAAAGCGGCCTTTAAGATCCTTTTAAAGGAACCCTGAAGATCCCTGTCCCTTGAAAGGAACCCTATAGATCCCCTAAACCCTAAACCCTAAACCCTAAACCCTAAGTAGATCCCCCAAAAAAGATGGGCCCCGAAACTTTTCCGAGAGCCGTCGGAGGAGTCCTCCTCCGAAGTCCCGCGCTCCGCGCGCGTGGCCGGCCTGGCGACCTCCAGGCTTTCTTGAAATAAAAAAGGGTTTAGGATTTAGGGTTTTAGGGTTTTAGGGTTTAGGGTTTTTCTGGTTTAGGGTTTTAGGGTTTAGGGTTTTAGGGTTTAGGGTTTTAGGGTTTAGGGTTTTAGGGTTTAGGGTTTTAGGGTTTAGGGTTTTAGGGTTTATGGAAAGCGTTCTTTTCATGGGCTCCTTTAAGGGGGTTTAGGCTTTCGGGTTTAGGGTTTTGTTGTTTAGGATCTCTTTCATTTTCATAAGTAACAGGGGTTTTCGAATTTGGGGATATGACTTAGGGTTTAGGGCTTTAGGGGTTTAGCCATTAGAGTTCAGGCTTTAAGGAGGTGTTCTTCTTTTGTCTTTGCTTTGAGGGTTTAGGATTTAGGGCAAAGGCTCCCCGTTCTTCTCCTGTTTTTTTTTTCGGTTGAGGGTTTAATCCTCAGGCGCGTAGGGGCAACATGCCCTGAACCCCAGAGTTGATAGACGCAATGCTGCACTATCCGTCGCAAGGCATGCCCCTTTTTAGGACCTCTAAAGGAACCCTTAAAGGAACCCGAACCATAAACCCCCCCTAAGCTTTTTGGGACCCTTACAGGAACCCTTAAAAGAAAACCGAACCCTAAACCCCTCTAAGCTGCCTGATGTTAGGACCCTTACAGGAACCCGAACCCAGCCAAAAAGACCCTAAACGCTAAACCCTAAAACCTAAACCCACCCTTAAAGGGGCCCTAACCCCCCACCCCCCCCAGAAAAAAAAGACCCCAAACCCTAAACCCTAAACCCTAAACCCACCCTTAAAGAAACCCTAAACCATAAACCCTAAGCCCTAAACCCACCCTTAAAGGAACCCCAAACCCCCCCCCAAAAAAACGACCCTAAACCCTAAACCTAGACCCAAACCGTAAAACCCTAATCCCTGAACCCGAACCCCGGCAGCTTCTAATCCCTAAATCCAGGAACCCGAAGATCCAAACCGCTAAAGCCCTCATTCCTAAACCGCGTATGTCTCATGTTGCCGGAAGGTATAGGGTTTGGGGTATGGGAGTTTGGGGTTTAGGGAGTAGGAGTTTAGGGTTTAGGGAGCTTAGGGTTCCCACGTGGCCCCCAAAAAAGACCCAGGAGCTTTACCGGCTCCGAGCGCCGTCCCTTGGTGTCGGCAGATCCAGAGCAGCTTCCTCAGGGAAGAGGGGTTTGGGGTTCAAGGGTTGTGGGTTTAGGGTTTAGTGGTTGTGGGTTTAGGGTTTAGGGGTTTTGGGGTTTGGGGTTTAGGGTTTAGGGTTTAGGGGTTTGGGGTACCTGGGTATCCCAAAACCTACCGTTTTAAGGGTTAGAGCTTATAATTAAGGGGTCATAGCCTACTCTTTCATGGGGTTTTGGGGTTTTAGGGTTTAGGGGTTTAGGGTTTAGGGGTTTTGGGTTTTGGGTTTAGGGTTTACGGTTTCGGATTTACGGGTTTTGGGTTTTGGGTTTAGGGTTTTGGGCTTTGGGGGGTTCGGGTTCCTTTCAAGAATTCTCTCAAGGGTCCGAAAACTGAGCTTGGGGGGGGGATATGGTTTAGGGTTTAGGCTCCTGAGTAGTACCCTGTTGCCCTCTGTTTTGGTGTTCCCCTATCAGGAAAGAGGGTGGCCCTTACTATCAACGGTCTACTGAAGAACCTAGTCTCAGAGTTGTGTAAACCTTTAGTGTTTAGGGTTTCAGGGTTTCGGGGTTTAGGGTTTCAGGGTTTCAGGCATCAGGGTTTAGTGTTTAGCGGTTCAGTTGTAATAACGAACTATGTATTAGACTGATCAAGGCAGGGGTACTGACAAGCGCACTAGCAATGATAAGCACGAGAGTATGTGTAACAGTAGTCGCAAAACTGCTCATGATCGTGATGCTAGTCAAAATCATAACCATAGTCATGTTACTACATGATACTGGCACCAGTATGATATCAGATATAGTGTCAAGAAGCAGGGTTTTGTCATGTGTTTGCAGAAGGGTTTGTCCAAGAGTTTTGGTAATACTGGTTTGTCAGAGGTCCAGGGCACTTTGAGGGTTTGGTTTGTGAATTTAGGATTGGAATCTTGTTGTTTGGACTTTGGTCTCTAATAGTTTAGGGCCTCTGGCCTCTCTATCCACGGGTCTACAGGGGTGTTGTCAGGCACGGCACTTTGGAGGCTTGTCAGGGCTTTTGGGGTTTGTGGGTTCATATTACGGGGGTCTTTCTTGCAAGTACGGAGTTTATGTTGCTGCTTCCGTTGGCTTTGCAGCAACTCGGTCATACTGTGACTGATCTTCCTAAACCCTAAACCCAAACCCTCAACCCTAAACCCTAAAAGCCTTCAACCCTTAACCCTAAGTTCTTAAACCCTAAACCCTATATACCCAAATCTCCGTAGCACCCCAAACCCCAGCCTCCACAAATCCCAGAGCCCCAAAAGCCCTACAAACCCCGCTGGCCTTTGAGGCACTGGGTGGTACCGCTGACACCGCCAAGAGGCCAGCTGTAACGCACTAAATCCTGAACCCTGCATGGTTTTGTGATTCACGCAGTGGAAGTGTAGATTTGAAAGTTTTGTTTTACTGCGCTTTTCCCCAAACCCTTTCTAGATTCAAGACACGAAACTCTACAAACCACAAAAACACAAAAAACTTAAAAGCCCCAAAAGCTTTGAAACCCCACAAGCCCCAAAAGCCCTAAACGCCCTAAAAAGCCCTAAACAGCCCGAAAAGCCCTGGAGGCCCTAAAAGGACCTAAAAAGCCCTAAAAAGCCCTAATTAAAGAGGAGTGCCGGCTCACCAGGTCTCCGGGGGGTTTCGGTTGAGCCCCAGAATCCGGTGCTCTGTGCCCAGCAGGCACCCAAACCCTACATTTAGTGTTTAGGGTTTAGGGTTTAAGGTTTAAGGTTTAGGATTTGTGGTTTGGGGTTTGAGGGTTTAGGGTTAAGGGTTTAGGGTTTTCGGTTCAGGGTTTAGTTCGGGTTTAGGGTGTAGGGCTTTGGGTTTAGGACCCTAAAACCCTCAACTCTCAAATACACGAAACATTGGAAACTCAAAGCCCTAAGCCCTAAGACCTCCCTTCGATCCCTTAAATAAAGGAACCACGATTTAGGGTCTAGGGTTTAGGGATTACCATGGAAGGAATCTGAAAGGAATAGTGACTTCTGTCCCACTGTTCTGGCAAGAGGTGCAACCGGCGAAGACAACGCTTCTGAATGCGCCAACAAGGCGTCCGCCCACAGGGGTGAAGGGCATTAAGGGCTAATACAGGGATCGAAATTTCTAGTAGCATTCCCTTCTGGTCCTAGTACTCCCGAAAGCCTTATTCTGTTTATGAGCTCATCTATGTTACTTGGTTTTAAGCCGGCGGGTGTCCTTCTAGGACCCTGACCCTGGCACATGTCTATCTATCTAGGCTGTAATTCCCTAAGGCTCTAAGGACTCATATTTTAATGCTTTTGGGCCCAAGAGCAACGTGCCACAGCCACAAAAGGCAGGTTACAAAACACCAAGTACGACGAATCAGGGTGCAGGTATTCGGTATACCCCAAAGACGTCCATTCTGGAGCCAGGCGTTTAGAGACCAAAATTTCTACGTCACTACTTGCAGGGGCTCGACTCAACCATTCCAAAATTACACAATCTTCTAGCACCAACCCCTGTTGTCTGTTAGGGTTTATGGTTGAGTCTCAGAATGGCAGTCGGTTATGCTTTGACTTGTATAAAACAATTCAAGCATGCCAGTCGACTTTGTGCCAACATTGCGGTAGGGATAGGGCGCGCCGCTAACTAGCGATACTGGAGGAAGTGATAACCGTAAGTTCACGCGTCAGCAGAACCCTAAACCCTAAACCCTAAACCCTAAACCCTAAACCCTAAACCCAAGAACCATGCAAGCTGGTTGCCTGAAGAACTAGCAAGACCAGTCCTTAGGTTCCCGAGTGCCAAGTAATTATATTGTAGAACTCCTAAAGCCGCTGTCTAATCATGAACAGCACTCAGAATCGCGTTCCTGGCCTCTTCAAATCCGTCTGAACCTTTTTAAGCTTTAATTAGCTTGAAACCCTTTATAACTTCGTCAGACTCATAAAGATCCCACGAAGATCTGCGACAAACAACGCCCTTTCGAAGACCCTAACCCAGTAGCCCTAAACTTTAAGCTCTCAACCCTAAACCCGTAATCCCTTAAACCCCATAGTCAAACCAGAACACTAGAATATGGATTCAGGCTTCTTTGCAGTTTACTTTAACCTCTGACGTCTTGTTCCTAGAAGCAGGTCTATACCCAAAACCATAATAAGAATGGTCTTTTGGGACTAATTCCATAATGGTACTATACCCTAAACCCTAAACCCTAATATGGACCCTCTGGGGTTCACAGCTGTGGCAGCCCTCATAGCGGAGGCAGCTGAGGTGCCCGATCCCAGCGCGTCCGGCTGCTCAGTTGTCCTGAGGGCCCGGTGTTTTGGATGGTTTAGTGTTTATGAGGTTTAAAGGATGTTTGGGGGTTGAGGGTTTAAGGTTTATAAGGTTTAAAGGATGTTTCGGGGTTTCGGGTTTAGGGTTTATAATGTTTCAAGGATGTTTTGGGGTTTAGGGTTTTGGGGTTGCAGGGCTTGGAGCTGTTGGGGATGTTGAATGTAGGGTTTTGGGGGTTTTAATTTGAGCGCAAGGTTCGGCTTGTGACTTTTTGGGGAAGTTAAGCGGGCCATTTCGTCAATACTCTATTCTTTCGGATAGACTTCGGGTGGGCACATACAAGGATGATACCTAATAGTACTTCCCTGTACAGAAACCCTACATTCTACTAGGTACTTAGGACCCTTTGGGTGAGGGCTGGAGGAATCGTCCAGAATGCTACTGCACCCGGAATGCCCTTTGGCCTGCCGTCGCAGTCGAAGAGGACACGATGTGGCGAATGCCGAGGCGTGCACACAAGCTGGCGTACCGGGTGGGGAGGAAGCCGTGCGCTTCGTGCCGCGAAGGTCGCCGTTGCACGACGAGGAGCAGTACTTTACCCATAGGCCCGAAAGTAGTTCCTTTTTGGGGTTCATAAATAGAATCCTATAAGGTAATCCCAAAAAGGAAGTACTATGGGGCCTATGGGTATGGCCCCCTGGCTTACTTTTTGTGGAGGTTATACCCTGGAGCTTACACACCCCGATTTGGCTTGGGACCTCCTGTTCGAATATGGAGCCTGAAAGGCGCGGCTCTGCGCCAGGAACAGGATGCCAGTGCCTCTGTCAGCATGACAGGGTTTTCGGCCTCATTCGGCAAGGGTCCTGCCACCGCAGCGAGCGAAGCAGCTGCCGAAGGCGAAGCAGGAAAAGGGCAAGAAGAAGAAGAAGGTTCTAGTGGTATTCCTTGATAGCACTTACATACTTATAGTACAATATAACCCCCCAAACCCCCTCAACCACCACCCTAAACCCTAAACCCTGAACCCATAAACCCTAAACCCTAAACCCATAAACCCAAACCTTAAACCCATAAACCCTAGTCCCCGAACCATGAACCCTACACCCTAAACCCTGAACCCTGAACCCTGCACCCTAAACCCTGAACCCTGAACCCTAAACCCTAAACCCCAATCCCTTTAAGCTGATGTAAGATATGGTCTATCAGTGGCAGTGCTTTGGGCCCCAAGCCCGAAACCGTAAACCCTAAATCGGGCTCATAGCCTGACCCTAAGGAAGGCTCTATAAGGACTCATATTTTGTGGATTTTTGGACCAAAGATCATACTATGTGCGGCCTTTTGGGGTTGTTTTGAGCCTTAGTCCATAACCCCACAAACCCTAAACCCTAGATTACATAGCCACCGTAAGGTTACGGTTCGACTTTACGTGCTCAGGTTTAGCGCCGCGGCAACGCCGGTCTTCATCGTTCTTGCAAGTGCCCGATCCTCCGGGGGTGGTGGGTTAGGGCTTAGGGTTTAAGGGCTTTGGGTTTAGGGGCCCTGTTGTTGGCGTTCCCAAGCGTCTGAAGTATTGCATTTGAAAGGTTTGTTGCAAAAAAATCAGGCTTCAAAAGGGGTGCTTATCCCTCGCTTGAAGCTGCAAGGCCATAAGTAAGGCTTTGGCTTTAGGCTTCATGGGTTTGTATGTGGGTAGTTCTCTAAAACCGGGTCCCTTTGGGGGTCCTTTTTTATAGTGGTGCCGTACTATATTGCGGACCTCAAAAGGGACCCTAATGTAGAGAACTACCCTTGTGGAGTTTTGGGCATTGTGTTTGGGGTTTGATGCGGAACAGTCGCAACCGACTAGGTGCCTCTGCATCGTTACAAGTGACTCCTAAGATTTCCACCACAAGTATTTCAGCGGCACCGAAACTTTGGATTTAACTAATTAGTTACCTACAACTAATTAGACTAATTAGTTACCTACCGAAATCCTTATCAAGCTGTGGCCCCCCCAAAAATCCAGAGCCTCGTTACTTCAAGCCTTAGAATACTGGCCTGTGACTTGATTCCACAAGGCTCCAAGCGCCCAAATAGTACCTGAAACCCGAAATAAACAACGTCCTGAATTTAAGGACGTTTTCATAAGGAAAACATGGTCCTACCTTATTTAAGGACTTATCGCATCAGGACAACATAATAAGGTTTCAGGTAGGCTTTGTAATTTTAAGTGGGGCTTCAGGTGCCAAGAAATATCCAACGGGCAAACCCTACACCCTAATTCCTTGAAGCCCTAGACCCCAAGCCCTTAAACCCCTAAACCCTAAACCCTTGAAGCCCTAAACCCTAAACCCTTTAAACCCCAAACCCTGAAACCCCTACCCCAAACCCTTCAACCCTTAACCCTAAACCTGTTAAACCCCTAAACCATGAATCTTAAACCCTTAGGGCGTAACGTGAAGCCCGAGGATGGAGTGTGGGATGTCCTGGAAGACCAGCTGGCCGGAGCTTTTGGGGGTTCAGGGTTTAGGGTCTAGGGGTTGAGGGTTCAGGGTTTGTGCTCTTCTTTGTGGGTTGGGGCTTAGGGTTTAGGTTTTAGGGCTTTAGGGTTTGTGTTCTTTTTTGCGGGCTGGGGCTTAGGGTTTAAGGGTTCAGGGTTTAGGGCTTGGCCCCAAAACCCTATTCTAATTTTAAGGCCCCTATATTATCCCAAACAAAAAAACATTAAACGGGGTTCAAAGGCTTTGTCTGCTTTGCGTGGCAAGGTTTTGAAGGCTAGGGTCAGCTGGGCTGTTGTTTGAGACATGTAATGGGGTTTTGGGATTCGGCATCAGAACGTCGTACGCTGACTGCTTCTGTTTGGGGCCAAAGAAGCACATAACCTTGAACCACACATTGAAACGTACCCTCTTATAGTGATATGTCCTTCAAGTGCTCAGGTGCCTTCTTGGAGTGCATGTTCTAGGATTCTAGGCAGTTGGTACATGAGTGTTTCTTGCTGCTCTGTCTGTGTCTGGCTTCAGCCAAGATGCTGTGGTAAGGGAAGTGAGGTACTTAACAAGGCAAGCAGCATAAAGAGGGGCCTTGCTGGTTTGCAAGACCTGTCTTCGCACTTTGACCCGAAGGCGGTCCAGTTCACGGACCATTTGTCGGTACTGAAGCTTGCAGAGGTGTTTTATCGACCAAAGGTAGATGGTCTTTGGACTCTCCGAGGAGAGAGAGACAGAGAGAGAGAGAGAGGGTTTAGGGTTTAGGGTTATTTAGGGTCTAGGTTCTTGGACTGTCCGAGGAAAGACACGGCGAGAGGGCCAAGTCTCAAGAGACAGATCGTTTGAGCCGATGATGGGCTCAAGTGAGAAGCGTTGTGTCAGGGAGTTGCCGTATTTGCCAATTCGGGTGTCAGGGACGGTCAAAACTGATTATCGAAAATGCATAGTCTTTTGCGATGCACTTCTTCCGGCTGCTGTCACCAAGTATCAAAAAACTAGATCCCGCGATATCCTCATAGTTAAAGGCATACACGGGTTTCGGGAGAGCATAGAACAACCTAGCACCTTTCAGCTTGGCATGCTCCAAGTGTGTGGCGTCTCGGAGCACCGCCGAATCTACCACAACCTACTTTTTAGGGGCCTGAACAATCGCCTAGTATTGTTAAGTGGGAACCTAGAGACAAGAAGGTTTTGAATTGGTAGGTTAGGAACCCTAAACCCTAAACCGTACACCGTGACGGTTAGGGTAGGGCCGAAACCCTAAACCTTGAACTCCAAGCCGAGGTCGTCGACTTGGTGTGGGACTTCCTCGGATCCGTGCAGGCGGCTGAGCTGAGCCCTACCTGGGTAATAGAGAAGCCTAAATAATTTTCAATATTCTTTTGGGGGTTCCTTATTATATTTTTACCATAAAGGAGCCCAAAACACAATTCTACTTATCAAGGCCCCTATATTATTTTGGGGTCTAGGGCTCCAGGTGCTTGTGGTTTAGAGCCTAGAGAATGCTTTTGAGTACCATAACTCTGATTCACGTTTCTCCTGAATTTTAGTGCCTTGGCAAAGGCGAAGAGTTCAATGAGGACCCTGCAAAACTATAATTTGGCTGCCTTAAGAGAATGCAGAAACGCTAAGCCCGAGTCCCCACCCCCCGCAGCAATGTTTCAAGACCCTAGACCAAATCCGCCATGAATAGTACCCAGAAATACGCATCGTAGGAAGATGACAAGAATTGTCCTAGCGTGACACGGTTTAGGGCTTAGGGCTTTGGGTTTAGGGTTTGGGGTTTAGGGTAGGGCTTAGGGCTTCGGGTTTACGGTTGTTCTCTTTGGAAGCCTACGCCTTACTTGGAGGCCCAGAGGACTTAGTAAGTAAGTTATAAGTAGAGTTATAAGTACCCTAAATGGAGTTACCCTAATTATAACCGACTTACTAAGTCCCCTTGGCCTCTAGGTAAGCTCCACTTGCGAGATCATGCGCATCGTCTGATTTGAGCCCCAAAGGATCCCGAGCCGGTTCCACAGGGTCTCATTTAGGGTTTGTTAGTTTCTTTAAAGGGATCTCTAAGGGTTTCTATAAGGCTAGGTTCCTGTGTCTAAACCCTAAGCCCTAAGCCCGAAGCCCGAAACCCTAAACCCTGAACCCTGAACCCCAAGCCCTACAGCCTAAGCCCGAAACCCTAAACCCCTTTGAGAAGCCTGAATAGTTAGCAATATTCTGCCTTCAGGTTCCTTACATCTTACTTAGAAATATACTAGGTTCCTGAGTAGTATCATTTTTGCCATTCTACTTGTATGGCTCTCTTTGATAAAACTGAGTAACAGGAAAAGGGCACCCCTATTCTGTTAAGGGGTCACTCAGGAAGTACCTACCTATATGGGGGGGGGGGG